TTACTTTCTTAATATATTATAACTTCTTAATTTATCTTTACTATTATTATCTATAGTATTAAGTATTAAGTCTATCTACTTATATAATTTATTACTACTAGTAATTATAATAATAATAATAATAATAATAATAATAATAATAATATATTATTATTATTATTATTATTATTATTATTATTATTATTATTATTATTATTATTATTATTATTATTATTATTATTATTATTATTCTAGAGTAACTAATTATATAATTATAGTTTTAACCCTTAGATTATATCTATAAATATCTTATAGTACTTAATACTATTCTAGATAATTAATTAATATTTATAATTATTTATAACTACTACTATTTCTTAGCTAAGCTAGTAGAGTAATCTATTATTTTTTCTAGAATCTAATAAGCTTAGTATTTTCTATCTTATATATATATTCTTACTCTAAATCTTTAATGGTTATTTTATCTCTCTATCTCTAGTTAGAGATCTATATATTATAATATCTATATAGACTTATAGAGTAGAGTAAGGTAATTATTTCTATATAATTTTTAAGCTCTAAACTCTTTACTTTAGTCTATAATAAGAGAGTTTAATTTCTTAGAGAAGAGAAAGAGGGTAGATTTTCTAGAATCTAATATAGTTTTAATATAGACTCTCTTCTAAGAACTTCTAATAATTTTTAAAGATTCTTCTCTATCTCTTTAAAGAGACCTTATAAAGATAAAATAAGCTTATAGCTAGATAGAGATCTATCTAATTATCTATTATATCTACTTTTAATACTCTTATATACTTATAGATAAGTATAAAGATAGAGAAGGCTTATAATAGGAAGATTGGTGTGAGAACACGCGTGTACCAGTCCTAGCTCGTTAGGTTCTAGGAAAATGGCGGATACCCACACCTTTTCCGTGCTGGGTTCGCCGTGATATATTCGACCGAATACTTCGATATTAAAGCAGTAGGGGCCAATCTCAACTTCGCAGTCATAGGCTGCAATACAAAGAAACCTACGACACTCACGGGCTACCTGTATGAGCCTAATACTAACACTTGCCAAGTATTAGAGAAGTGCCAGCTCATGTTTCGGTCCACTATATTGCGACTCCTTGAGTGCGCTTGCGATTATGACTACATGAACTGCAGAGGCGGGACACGAGATGTCTTATGTATTTGACATTGCAGCCGCCGAGGACACTGTGAGAAAGTCTAACCGAAGCTAAGAACCAGGCCACATTTGGAGATTACAAGGATAAACATCACAATGGCCGAGATCATAGATATATATATACATCACTAGGAAATATATCCTTCGTAGGTCTGGTATTGAAAATCGTTACATTCCCAGCGGCAACTCGAAAACGTCACACCGAACATTGATATTACTAGGATAACGGGATTACCCTCAAACATCAAATACTTCACTGCCAAGAAGAACGCCTTAGTAGGAGACACAAGGGGAAACTTATGGGTGCTTTGGGAGACCTAACTCTTCGCTTCACAACTCAATCTGCGGTTCGTGACGCCAGGTAAGTATACTTACTCCTTCTCAGCAACAGCGGTGAACAGAAGTTGGGCCAAGTACATCCAGAACCCTAAAATCATGCTTCGCGTCTTGGAGCATGTGGCCGCGGCGCTGTACAATGAACATAGTGCCGTCGTACCATCAGAACATGGTTAGTCCATCACTTAGCCCTTGCTCGTATTTTATATACTTGAGATCGTGTTATATTGTGAACAGCATTGGGCCTATATGGCTCCTATACTTCATCGAGCCTTATCGAACGCGAAGTCCCTGAAGAGAGCAAATCAGCCAGAGATGTAACCCGGAAGACCTTGATCTTGCACACCAGCGTTTGAATTCTTGACCAAGAGCAGAGAATAAGGTGGCCGAAGGAGATTCTTCCCCTTGACGTGGCCTTCATGCAATCTGGAATGTGGGCCCACTATCTACACCCTCCCAGGTTGAGAGTTTGTCTTTCCCACACATGTCTTGTCATGCCATGCTCCTCTCTTCTTCTTCTTCTTCTTCTTCTTCTTCTTCTTCTTCTTTATATTTTCCTACTAAAACAAACACACGTTTTTCTTCGTCTTCTTCGTTTTCAAGACGGACAGAGCGACGGACGGACAGACAGACAGATAGACGATTGGACCTCTATTACGTTGGAGAAGAGAATATTGTGGCGTGTAGCAAGGCCTGTGCAGGGGACTCATAGCTCCCAGCGGGCTTAACAAGGACAAGATGGTGAAATCGAAGTCAGATCGTCGAAAGATGGACACTAGCGTTATAGTTTTCATGTACTCGAGCCAGGATTATCTCCGATGGTCAATCGATAAGACTTCGGGCTGGAAGTGAAAAAGGTGTGTTGGGTAGAACGCGTATAGACAGATGATCTTTCAAAGCGTCTGACATGAACCAAACAACGATCGAGAAGTAGCTACTATGTCGTCAGGAAAGGACTTCTCTCGGAGTAGAGCACGCTATAGGACAATTCACAGGAGCTCAACGAGCAGCCAATCTACCCCATCGCACCGGAACATGAAATAGCTGGTAGCGTATGCGGATCTGTCATTCAAAATCAGGAGATGATACTATCATGAAAAGAGAATAGAGAATAATGGTACTGACATTGGAAATTGAAGATATGATAAATAAAGCACAGGATATAGCACAATGGAGCCTCGTCAATACACCGCTGAAGAGCAAGGGTGGCAGCCTTGCGGCGTGCCTCTCTGTGATGTACAGGGCGCCCTCGCGTGCACTGATGTCGAGACCAGGAGCCCACGTACAATGGAATGACAAGAATTGGATGGCTGTCACGATAGGTCACGGTCGTATGGTCTCGCACTGGGACGTGCGATGTAGATGGACAGGCGGACAAAGAACACATGTGCATATCGCTTAGTGTAGTAAGGAGACGACATTAATGGACATTGGAAGAGTAAGGATGATAAGACAGGATAGTTCTTGGGCGAAGCTAGCAAGGCATGGAGGGAACTCCCTGGCTCTTCGCTCAGCGAGCACACGGCTGATTGCAAGGATCAGAGGAAACAATGGCATGTATTGTCCTCGTCGGGGCATGGTGATGGGAGACATAGTCGATACCTTCCAGCCGCACACCGATATTGAGACAGTGCGTTGCACGGTGGTCGATGCACGCCGTCGCCCGACTGCGGCAACGTGGACAGAGACAGCTGCATGAGTTGCCCAAGACAGCCTGACAGGTGGCGGCGAGCATGCTTGCTGGGACGTGGGTTCCGTGAGAGGCGGGAAGCAGATTAATCAATCAATCGACTTGTAGGAAACAGGGAGGCTGTAAGAGCTGGGGCAGATGACTGACGGACCACGGACCCGATGTACGGAAGCAAAGACGGGTTGTCCTTGTGCTTGTCGTCGCCTTCGTCCTAGCGACGAGACGCGGCGGCTGCTGGGATGATATATGGCTCACAGAGCGGGTCGTCGAAGATGGTAAGTGGCGTGTGGTTCAGCTGGCGAAGTGATAAAGATTGAGTGAATAAGAAACGTTGTTGTTGTTGTCGTTGTTGTTGTTGAAATGTCTCTGCCTCTGTCCTGACCTGTCATGGCCCGCAAAGATATCGGGCCGACTCCTGCGACTTGGCAGTCTGCAGTCAGTCCGCAGACGGCGCAGGGGCCTTCACATTTACCTAATTACTGTCACGCTCACTTTTCGCATTCCTGTTCCCCTTCCAATATCGCTATGATACCCTCACCACTATATCCATCTACTTGACATGGCTTATGAGGACCTGCGCCGCGAGCAATGCACTGATCGAATCTGCAGTACAAACACATACTGTAGGTCTGTTTTTCTGGACTCGGCCAGCATTCCTTGCCAGCGCCCCCGACTGCGACCACCCGCTGGAGGCGTGGTCTAAAGCTGACGACATGCACTACTGACATCCCTTAGTATGACCACGGCAAGCCACCTGGAGACGGGCGTGCGGCGGCGTGCTTATCATTTCAAAATGTTCCTGTCTCGGCAGCCAATACTGGCGCACCCCTGACCATAGTCATACAGAGTACGATGTACTCGATTGCCGCTTTGGCTCAAGGTACAACGTGGTCAAACGTGTCTTGCTCTTTCGGCTCCCAGGCCCGGACGGCCATGTCTTCTTCCCTCGTGTACACGGTCTAGCTCGAAATGGACTCTGGCCTTTGGTGTGTATGGTAGAGCTTCCATTTATATGTGCGACACGCCTCTCTGCTCAAGCTAAATGTGTTGCGGCGCATCTTGATGCAGGAGGCACATGTCGGTGCGGGCTGTTTATAAGGGCCCTTGCTTAGCACTTATGCATCAAGTACGGGGATAAATCTAGAGACTTCAGGACGGGAGACGCAGACATCTTTCACGAATCGCCCACTCGAAATAGTGGGAAACTACGCGGAGCTCGTGCAAATATGTACATGAGTTTGGACATGGGTATGCATGAGAATTGGGTGAGTCTTTGAGTGATGAGCTGACGATAACGACAAAGCAACATGAAGCATCTGATGGATTCAGCCTCCGACACGGCGGGCGCCACAAGTTCTCTCCGCCCAGCGGCCCCGCGCATCCACCACAGCCGCCACATCCTACCTCCACTACTTCCACTACATCTACAACAACCACTAGTAAGACACTCATTACATCCACTTTCGCCGTGTGAGATGGGAGCGGGTGCGGGAACGGGTGTAGGTGCAGTTGCGTGCAGGTGCCTCTGCCATACGCTATCGGTTCACGGTGACCAGACCCGTCATGTCGACATGCCCACATACAGTACAATGAAAATACCTACCTCCAATTAATTCTCTGTCCCTATCATAATGTAGGCTGCTGTAATGAACTGATCAAGCTTTTACTCGTCCAAGCCGAATCGGCATGAGCGCGTATAGGCTGTAGACCGAAGGGCACTGCAAGACTCGCCCAGGCTAATCATTGACAACTCTTGTAGCCTTGATACGCTGGCTCAGACAACGATCAGCCCTCTATTGACACCATGACACCCCTACGTCTAGGAATGACCTGCCATGTGCTCGCACCCCGCTGCCATGGACACTATACGGCAGAACAGGCAGATCTAGCAGGACAAAGTGTGCCGAGACCAATCACGATCAGCTTATTATCGCCAAAGGACTCTTTTACCATTGATCCGGCTGGAATGGAATGTTCGACAAAGTCAGCATCCAATAGTTCCAGCCTAATCTCCTGCGCGCTTCGCCGTGGTTGGAGTCCAAGGGATCGGGGAAAGGCAGGTCACTACTGACCATGCTTTGTGTATCTTTCGTAATTCTCATTGCTTCAACAATCCGCAGTACTGGAAGATTACTTGCTGCCGCAACCGGACGCGGATAGACGGGGAGGACTGGTGCCAACAGCCGTAGCAGCAGAGATCTTTTCACCATCAGTGAGCGATGTCATGCGGGACAATACCGTTGACGACGGACCCGCAAGCTATAACACGAGACTAGCCAACGAATGGATATTCGCACGCGAATTGCACGGCATGGCATGGCAGGCGTTGGATGAGAGCAGCGAATATGGACAGAGTAGTAATAGTGGCTCTGGGGACACTGGCCAACAACAGGAGCAGGAGAAAGAGTAAGCATTAGTAGTTAGTATTGAGTGCAGAGAGCGCAATGGCTGCACAGAGATGAGTAGTAGGCAGCGGTGTATTGTGACATGGGAACGGCACCGCGTTCTTTTAGCTGCGTGAGAATGTCAATTTTTGCAAGAGTGTTTACTATGTATGATGCACAGACTACTAACCTTGGAGGAGTATCAGCCAGAAGGCCCAGTCCAGTTGTAGGACTTTGTTGCATCAATGCCATCGAGATACAGACGAGGGCGTCTGATGTCATGTCGAGTATCAGGATAATATTATATACATAAAGGTCATCGCGTATCTAGCCGATGCTTTGGAAGTGAATTCCTGGGTAGTGGAGACGTAGACGTTGGTAGCTGGTACACATAAAACGCCGGTCATACTGATATGTGCACAGATGGGTGTCAAAGCTGCCGCCCAACTATGCGCTTGGGGGTTCTTAAAGGTAATAGAGAAGTTTACAGAAAGGTAGAGAAGGGTAGAGAAGGGTAGAGAAAGGTAGCCAGGGGGGGGGGGTGTACGTAGAGCCCAGGCAGGATTGGGGCGAGTATATTATCTGTCATGGGCCGCCGCATATATGAGCACGGTCACTGCAGCGTCCGAACTTCCTGAGTCCCCCTCCTGGTCTGCGTCTGCGGGCGCCTGCGCCTGCATCGCGCTAGCACACGCGCAACGGCCTCTCATTGGCTGTGTTGTGCTTGATGCTTTGCTTTGCTTCCATTTGCTTTTATTTGCTTCATTCTCACACCCTCCATTCGCCGCCCTCTCACTCACGCTCACTTACTCTCGCCCAACTTGCTGAATTCTCGCCATCACATAACCGCCTTATTCCAGCAGCCAAGACCCTGCACATTTGCAACCTACCCCTGACCTCTATATATATAACTCCCCGTTTCCTCTGGAGGCTATGGACCTTGTACTTCGTTTGTTCCGTCAGCGTCCACGGCCATTCACTCCTGGCTAACCTTCACTCTGCTCCAGCTCCAGAGACCTCAGCCCCAGACCGGGTGTCCAGCATGGCCATCGAAACCACCTCTTCGTTGAACTCGTCCGATGGCGCTGCTCCTGCAGGCGAGAAGCACCCTATCCACAATGTGGACTCTACCAACTCTGACAACGAGTCTCTGGGTTACGACACTAAAAGTACCGAACGCTTACTCAGGAAAATTGACTTTGCCCTGATCCCCTTTCTGGCTTTGCTCTACCTGTGTGTTCTGCTATACATTCTCATACATTCTTCTCCTCACTAACAACCTATAGACTGAGTTTCCTCGACCGTACAAATATTGGCAATGCCCGTCTCCAGCACCTTGAGACCGATCTCAATATGGACCCAAAGAGCCTTAAGTACAATGTATGCTACAGATTCTCCTACCTCTCTCCATTCTCTCACTGATTATTCGAAGAATGCTCTCGCTATCTTCTTCCCATTTTATGTGGCTGCAGAAATTCCGAGCAACATCATGATGAAGAAGTCTCGTCCCTCAATCTGGATCCCTACTATCATGATTGCTTGGGGTGTTGTCTGTACTCTCATGGGAGTTGTCCACAATTACCAAGGATTGATGGCGGCTCGCGTCTTTCTGGGTATTGCGGAAGGCGGTTTGTTCCCAGGCGTGACATACTAGTGAGTCCTCCCGTACAACCTGGCTAACACCGTGGTTGTGTGCGACGTGAGACTGACGGTTGGCAGTATCACCATGTGGTACAAGCGCCACGAATGCGGATTCAGGATGGCTATTTTTTTTTCTGCTGCAACCGCTGCTGGCGCATTTGGCGGTCTGCTTGCCCGCGGTATCGGCGAGATGAACGGCGTTGCTGGTCGAAGTGCTTGGTCATGGATTTTCATCTTCGAAGGTCTTCTTACGTTCGTGATCGGTAAGTTTCTAAGCTTCATTCATCATGGGTGTACAGCCGTGCTTACCATGCGGGCACAGCTCTGATAGCGTTCTGGGCCATGAACGATTATCCTGATACGGCAAACTTTCTGTCCCAAGGCGAGAAAAATGAGGTACAGCGTCGTCTCAAGGAGGACCGTAGTGCTCTGGACGACCGCCCGCAGGCTACTTACTTCTGGGACGCTCTTAAGGATTGGAAGATCTGGGTGCACATGTTCATCACCATCGGCATTTACACACCGCTTTACTCCTTCTCACTCTTTCTGCCGACCATTGTCAAAACACTAAATTACACCGACAACATGGCACAGCTAATGACAGTCCCGCCATATGTCGTTGCGTGTGTATTCTGCATCTCGGGCGGATACCTTGCCGACAAGCACAAGCAACGCGGTATCTATATGATCGGGTTCAACCTCCTTGCGTAAGTCACACTCCCCACACTCGCGTCGCCGAGCCATACTCACGCTGACCCAGTATCGTTGGCTTTTCTCTGCTATGTGGCTCCGCCAAACCGCATGTCAAATACGCCGGCACCTTCCTTGCCGCCTCTGGCATCTACCCCAACGTCCCGCAAGGTGTAGCATGGAACGGCAACAACATCGGCGGCTCATTCAAGCGTGCCGTTGGCATTGCCATGCACGTCGGATTCGGCAATCTCGGTGGTGTCGTGGCCGCTTACATCTACCTACCAAAAGATTCGCCTCAATTCCGTACCGGCCATGCCATACTTATCGGAACGCTATCCATTAGCACCATCCTGTGTATCGGTATGACCGCATATCTGCGCTATGAGAATTCACGACGAGATCGCGAGAACACGAAAGCCCCTGCAGATTACACTGTGGATGAGAAGACGGTGGAGATGCACAAGGGGGACAATGCGACCTTCTTTCGCTATACGGTTTAGACGTTCTTGCCAATGAACCGAGGCTACGCTTAGATGAAATGTTTCGTCCTTGTGGATCTATAATGAGGCTCACGATTGCATTGCATGGTCGGTAATGTCTTTTCGGAAGATATGCGCTGACTTAAAAAGTCTTAATAATGGTATACGGCTGTTAGCATGGCTGGATGACAGCTTCATGACTTTGAATGTGATCTGATTTCGTGTAGTAAGCTCTAGAGAATTCAATGATAATAAACGATCTAGACAGTGTACGTACGTACGTCTTCTATAGCCTTCTCGTCAATATATAATATATATACCTTGTTAGAGAGTATTAGCTATGTTACGGGTAGTATAAATAGTACCTTAAAATAGTTTAAGCTAAGCTAGACTATCTACTTATTAGCTACTCTACGTATAAACTATATAATTAAGAAATAAATCTAAGTATCTATTAGATATATAAGTTAAGTATATAGTCTACTATTCTATATCTAGTATCTAGCTCTTTATAAGTAGTATACTCTACTATTAAAGTAGTTACTTTAAGATTTAATTCTTTTAATATAGATAGTTAGTATATAGAGTCTACTATCTTATAGTATCTATAATAATAATTATTATATAACTAGATAGAGTAGTATTCTATAGATCTATATCTTCTCTAGTCTAAGATACTATATAAAAAGAAATCTAAGAGAGAAAACCTCTCTTATTCTAATAATTATATCTTATTAAATCTTTATTTCTTCTTAAGTATATAGTAATAGAGTATATCTATTAGTTTATAGTCTTTATTATTATTATTTTACTCTTAAATAGTATATATATATATATATATATATTATAATAAACCTTTCTAATAAGAGTATAGCTTATCTCTAAAGTAGTCTATTATATAGAGTATTCTAGCTTTTCTAAAGATAAGAGTACTTAGAAGACTTAGAAGAGTATAAGTAGATTTATAATAAGTATTAATAGAGTATAAATAGTAACTAGCTAGTAGATAAGTAAAGTAGTAAATATATTAGTATAAGTTTAAATTAATTACTATAAAATAATCTCTAGAGATTAGATTTAAAGAATCTATATAGTTCTACTAAGGTTCTCTAATTAGAATTCTTATTCTAAGTATTTAGTATACTAAGAAGGTTCTAAATTCTTCTTTAGATTTTAATAATTCTTAGCTTAGTATAGAGAATGTTAGGACTTAGCCTTAGACATAACCTAATCTATATATACCTTAGCTAACAGGGTTAGAAGGTGGCGGGAAGGGCGATAAATAGTTACGTGCTAGATAGATTGGCGTCCCTTTATATATATACTCTTAGATTTCTACCGAAAGGGTTCGGTAGTAATTCGTTCTAGGATAGAATATACTATATTATTCTATCTAACTATACTACTATCTAATAACCCTATTCTTATATTTAAATTACTCTCTATATAGTACTATAGTTAAGATAGTCTAACTAGAACTAAGAAGGTTAACACGATCTACTATAGAGATAAGTAATACTATATTAAATAATAGAGATTCTCTATAATTAGTATTAATCCTAGCCGTTTCTAACTAAGAAGTAGAGATATTAGACTAAATTACGGAGCTTTTAGATAAAGAAATAGTAGATATACTAAGTAACTTCTAATAATATAAAGCTAGATAATAAGTCATGGCGGAGCCACGTAAGGTATTATAATAAACCATTACTAAACTTTAGAAATATATCGCGAATTAGACTTAAGAGATTTAAACTCTTAAAGAATAGATAGAATATATAAAACTCCTTATAAAGAGATAAGAACTTAAGAAGTCTCTTAAAGAACTACGCTAAATAATAGTAGATAGACGACTTCCTATACTAATTTAGGCGGAATTAGTTTACCTACCATTAGAGTTACGATAATCTACCGTATACCTAGCCGCTTTATTACTGATTTACTCTACTCCTTCCCTAGGTATACTAAAATCTAAAGACCTAACTATATTTATAGAGAAGAACTAAAAGGAGTAGAAAGACTAGAAGAGAGACTACGAAAAGTACTTCCTTAATAACCCTCTACTCTTTTCTACTAAAGTATAATATATTTTGTTTGGAGAACGATACCTAGACTTATAATCCCGTGATTAATAGAATAGATAGAAGGAAGTATAGCTACTATCTACGATAACCTAGAAATATTTAGCTATATTTATACTAAATACCCTCGGAATGGATAGAGAATATAAAAGAAAGGTACTATCTAAGTTAAGAAGTATAGTATAATAACCGAACTAGACACCTACTTAACTACTATAATACCTCTAAAACCTATAGAATAATATCCCTACGCTATAGAAAAATATTTATATATTCTAGTTTCGCGAAGTACTACTTCCATTAATCCACGAAAGACTAGAAATAGTATTATTAAGTTTTAACTATCTATACGAATTAGAGAAGAAAGCTAATAAATACTACTATATCCTTAAGGAACGCGGCTCTCTAGGTAAAACTAATAAACTCTATATAGATTAGAAATAAGGTCGATTAAATATATTTGATTAAGAGTAACCTTACTATAATTAGCGCTAGAAGAGTATAAATCGGAGTAGAAACATATTAAGAGGATACTAAAATAATTAAGGCGGTACTTCTTAACATAGAAAAGGATAAGGCATAGACTTAAATATAATATCTATTATAAAATAGTAGAATCATAGCGTACTTTATTACTATAAGTATAGAGAAATAGAATATATTTTATCTAACTATAAGAATCTAAAAAAAGAATAGGCTAGTATATAAGATCTAACCATATTCTTAGCTAAATTATATATACTTAGGAGGAGCTATAGCGCCTTCCGGCGAGTAAAGACCTTATATTACTAAAAGTATTATTATCTATAGTAAATAGTAATAAAACTATATAGGCCCTTATAGATACTAGTATAGAAGATAACTATATTTTATTAATTCTCGTAAAGGAGTATAGATTATTATATAATCTTAGTAAAGTTAGCTAAACTATTATAGTTAATAGATATAAAGTTAGAACTTTAGATAAAGCTATAATAAATTATAAAGTTTATAACTTAAAGATAATAAAATAGTAGATATCTAATAAATTTATTATAGCTAATATTAGCTAATAGAATATAATTCTAGGTATACCTTAGCTTAGACGCCTAAACTCTATCCTTAATTTCTAGAAGGAGATATTAATATTCCGATAATACCATAGTAAATTATACTAGTAAGTTATAACTATTAGTAAGAAGGTATAGAATCTCGCTATACGGACCTAATTATTACTAATCTATCTTATATTCTTATTAATTATTAATAAAGACGAGGATAATAGTAATAATTAGGGCGAAGACACGCTACCTAACGTATATTTATAGTATATAGATATATTTTTAGTAGGAGATACATTACTTCTCCCTAACTATAGACTATATAAGCTAAAGATTAAGCTCGAAGAGAGAGTAGACGTCCCTTATAGTCTACTTTATCTACTTTCGAGACTAGAACTTAAAGTTCTTTATAAATATATTAAAGAATACCTTAGAAGAGGCTAGATATATTATAGTATATTATTAGCTAGCGTATCTATTCTCTTCGTAAAGAAGAAAGATAGAAGTTTATATCTATGCATTAACTATTAGATACTAAATATAGTAACTAAGAAGAATCATTATCTATTACCGCTAGTTAATAAATCTTTAGACTAATTAATAAAGGTAAAGTACTTTACGAAGCTAGATTTATAAGATATATATTACTAGCTTTAAATTTATCGCGGAGATAAGTAGAAAACCGCATTTCGGACTAGATATAGTTATTTTAAGTATACTATTATACTATTTAGGCTGATAAATACACTAAGAGCGTTTTAAGAATATATTAATACTATACTTATAGAATTACTTAACGTGATTTATATAGTTTATCTTAATAATATACTAATTTACTCTAATAGTAGGTAGAATTATAAAGAATACGTGGAATTAGTACTAAATCATCTAAGGTAGTATAAACTCTACGTAAAATTATCTAAATATAAGTTTTACTAATAAGAAGTTAGGTTTCTTAGCTTTATTATAATATATAGCGGCCTAAAAATAGAGCCGGAGTATATAAAGACTATTATAGAATAGCTAGAATCTACTACTATACGTTAAATTAGAACGTTTATAGGTTTTATAAATTATTATTATAAATTTATTATAGACTTCTTATAAATTATAGCGCCGCTTAATAAACTTATAGAGAATGGCGGTAAAATCTCTATAGGTAGGCGAGTATAGCGTAAAGCTAAGTTAGTTAAGATATAGTTAACGCCGGAAGCACGAGATACGTTCTAATTATTAAAGAATTACTTTATAACTACGCTAATTCTTAGGTATTTTAATTCTAAGAAGTATATTTAGATTAAAACTAACGCGTTAGAATTTATAATTACTAGAATTATTAGTTAACTATATAAAGATATAAAAGATAAGGTATAATAGTACCTGGTCGCCTTCTTTTTCTATAAAATAGTAGATATAGAGACGCGTTATAATACGCATAACTAGAAACTACTTATAATTATTAAGAGTTTTAAGTAATAGCGATATTATTTAGAAGGCTCTATATATTAGATTAAATTATTATCGGATTACGTAAATCTATATTACTTTATATTAACTAAGGTCCTTAATCGCTAATAAGTATATTAGGCTAAGTAGATATTAATATTTAACTTTAAAATCTTATATAAAGCTAGAAGAGAGAATAAAGCTAATCCTCTATCGCGGTATAAAGATTATAAGAAATCGTTATAGAATAACGTAGATAGTTAGTATAATTTAGACTATACTATACTTTAGATACTATAAGACTAGTTATCTAATAGAATACTAGAAGCTAGGACACTTTTAGCGATTCTCCGCGGGAATTAGAGCGGGTATTAAGTAATCTAAATAAATATCTAAGGAAATAAGAAAACCCTTAAAGACTTAATTAAATCTACCTAGAATTCTAATATATTAG